GTCCCCTGATGTGGGCATAAAACAGAAACTGAAATAGCATATGCTATGTGCCAGGCACCCTTGGAGTACTTTGCAGTAGCTCATTAAATCCTCACAAAGCCCTGCTATTTATACACGGGGACACTGGAGCACGGAGGAGGGATGTGCTCAAGATCACAGAGTAGACTGGAACTCAACGCAGCTGATAAGGCACCCAAGTCTGAGCTCCCAGCCGTGGCGCTAGTCCACCTCACCCTATACTGCACTAATTTTAAAGATGAGAAGGTTCAGGATCAGAGAGGTTAAGAAATTTGCTCAAGATGACATGGCTAGTAGGTGTCAGGGTTGGGTTTCAAACTAAAATATTTGCACTTTCTGCCATCCTGTGCACCTACTTCACAACCTAAGGAAGAGTGGACTGCAAGGACAGGTGGTATCTAGTGAGATTGGAACAGAGAGTGTCTTACATCTGGCTGGTGAAGTTGCCAAAGCACAGTCACCCCAATGGGGGCACATGGGGATGGCCCCCATCTTTACTTTGCCTAGCTTTAACTGCAGACATAGCCACTGACTCATCAATGGGGTGATTGTTCTGCTATAAACAGTCTCTAAATCTGAACAGTAACATCACAGCTAAACTGTTAATTTCACTTGTAATCTGAAACATACAAATGTAAATAGCCACGAGGTTACCATACAACCAATACCAAAGATTTAAAGCCGTGAGAATTCCCTGCTGGTGAAAAGACAACTTGGTAAAATTCTTTTGGAAAATAATGGTGCATGTTTCAATAACCTTAAACATTGTCATATCACTTGTCTCAGTAACTCCATTTCCCAGAGTTCAGGATACATAAACAAGCTAAAGTGCAAAGACGTTCATTGAAGCATTGTTTATAATAAGGGAAAACTGGAAATGGTTTGAGTAGTCATGAGTAAACACATGTCCCCACAAACAATAGTAAATTCTCTTGATGGAAAACAGCAAAGTGGCTTCAAATGCTACTTACAAAGACAGTTTTTGATACTTGATATATATATGGTGTTAAGCGAGAAAAGCCGAATAATAATTCTACAATATGAACACAACTGTGTAAATAAGCCACCAGTATAAAAAAAGACCAAAAAGATCTTCACTTGCAGTGCTTATGCTTGCTTGCTTGGTTCTCTGATAATAAAAAAGATACTAACCAAGAAAAGATCTCTATAGCTCTCCACTGATTAGCAATGGCTGACATTACAAGGAATGCTTTTTTTTTTTTTCAGTTCACTTTTTGATACCATTCTCTGGCATTTTGGTAGTGCATAAATTATCCATAAAGAAATGCAGGTGTTTTACTGAAAACACATCAAATGAAACCTCTAGATAACACACCAGGAAAGCAACTTTATAATGTTTTTATTATGCTCGACACCATTTTTCTGTACAAAACAATACACACTCATTTGGAAAATGTAGAAAAATTGTAAATCAAAGTACAGAGAAGCAAAGAAGAATTTCATTTAATCCTTCTATTTCGGTAATAAATGTTGATATTTTACTGTAAAGGAAACAGATTTTGGTGGGAGAAACTGCTATGCTCATCTTAACTAATTGCATATAATTGTGACATAAAACTTTTTTTTTTTTGACATAGAACTCTTATGCTATATTTTACCCCCCAACAAAGCCAAATCATCCATAGACAGTGCAGGTTTAAGGGTGATCAACAAGGTTGAGCTCAGTCTATGTGAATCTGGGTGGGGCTCTGCACTGGACCTGCTCTCATTGACCTTACAAAAGCAACTTTTGTAGCTGCTACTCTTGTTGAGTAGATCAGAGATCAGAGACAGGCAATAAGCAAAATACAGCTAGAATTCATTAATTCTGGGCGTGGTGTCAGAAAACTAGCCAGGCTGTTTCCTGCATTTTCCCCTGTTACTTGAGGTTAGAATCAGCCTCCTGTAAGCCTTAAAAATTAAACTAGGAAAGTTATCAAGTAGCAGATGAGTTTATTCTGGAATAGTAGAGAAATCGCACTTTGGGATAACCAAACTATGGCAAACTGTGCGCATGTACAGAGAACAAAGGAGAAGGATTTGCTATCATAGAGGAAAGGAGGGAGTTGGGAGGGCTGTTTTTGAATGAAAGGTCATTTAGGAAATAAAAGTTCATTGGAGGAGAGTGAGAGTCCTAAACTCTCCTCTCATTGGCTGCGTTGTGGCGGTTTCTCATTGGCTGGGTTTGTTTCTAGGTCAGGAGAAAATGTTCCTCCTGCCAGGGTACGGAAAGTGTCTTCCTGATGGGGTGTATAAAGTAATGAATGGCATAAGTGATACCTGTATAAAAGCTCCCCCTGCCAGTCTTCCTGACCCCATTTTCCTTTATTCATTTGCAGTCTATCCCCCCCTTCATCTTCAGCACACTGCTGGCCCTAGAGCATAGCAGGTGCTCCATAAACATTTGTGGAAGTAAACTAAAGGCCTGGGCTCAAATTCCTACCAATCACTTATCAGCTAGATGCTCCCATCCATTTCTTTGGTTTTAGCTCCTGTCTTTGAGCTAATTGGTTTCAAATTTCAATTTTTAGCCTCATCTTCTGTCAGCTAATAAGCTGCCTTCTGCACTTTTGCACTTAGATGTCCCATAAATGGCTCAAAATCTATACCATCTTTGTAGGTACCCCAGTGAGAGACTAAATGTCTCACTCTACTGCTTTGTCTTTCTCTTCCCTCTTCCATTTTTTGCTCATAAAGTCCTGCTGGATTTTAGTTCAGAAATGTCCCCAATTCATCCTGTCATCTCCATCGCCATAGCTGCTGTGTGAATTAGTTCAGACTCTCATTATATCTTACCTGGATTGTTACATCAGTCTCTTACCTAGTTTCTTTGCCTTCAATCTTCCTGTTTTAAAACCCCTTCTGTGTGACCATAATCAAAGGTGTCTATCCAAGATCAGGCATAATTATACCACTTCCTTCCTTCAAAACCTTCAAAGGCTCCACCTTGCCTTAAGGATCTAAATTCTTAGACAACTCAGAGAGCCTATCATAATCTGGCTCCAACTTCCCTTTTTGGCCTCATCTCCTATAAAACTCACCCCTCTCACCCTAAATGGGCCTTGTCTGTTTTAGCCATACAGAATTCCCATTCTTCCCCCAATAAACCATACTTTCTCTCTTTGCATAGGTCAGTCCAGGATCTTCTCTCCCAACTTCTTGTCCATGGCGCTCCTTCACCTGGAAGCTCCTATTCTGTATTCAAAGTCCAACCCACTTGTCCCCTCTTCTGAAAACCCTTCCTGGGGCCTTCCAACCACTCCCTTGACCCTGCTCTCGCAGTACTTAGTCGATATATCTATTACAGCACTCATCTTGATCTCTTTGGGGGCAAGGATGAATGCCTCACTGGAGTGTGATAGGTCTACACCTGGTGCCATATCTGTCCCTGTGAACACAACCCCAGCCTCTGAGTATTGCCTAGAGCCTCAGCCACTCCACACCTCTCCTCTGGGCAGTGCTCCTCAGATTTCACGTTGTGAGAGAACCCCCCCTGAGTGCTTATTTCATGGGCACATTCTCCCTTCCTTCCCGCAAAATATTGGTTCAGTAGTAGTCAATGCATCTTGGGTGATTGTTCAGAGACAGTCAGCAATGGGAATTGATCGTGGGGCAAATGAACCTGGGTCTGGAGAAGGGAGCGAATGGAGTTCATTTATATTCTGGGATTGCCAAAAGATATGACAGAAAGGCTCTTCATTCAACTTGATTAAACCTATGCGGGGGTCCATGCCAGGTGTGCATGAAGACGAATTAAAAATATTTTCTAAGTTCTAGTCAACTTTCAGGATCTAGTTCAGTGTCCTAAATTACAATACTTCAGGAAGCCACCCCAGCTTCCCAAAACTGGGCTGACTTGTACCCCCATAAGTTCAAGGTTGTCCTCAGCAGGGCTTTGTATTCAGTGCATGGCAACTGCCGAAATGTTGTGTACCATCTGTAACCACAGTGTAAGTTAGGTGGAGACAGGGCTTGTGCTTATTCACCCTAGCATGCTCAGAATTTACCTATTGTGGGGCTCCTAGTGGGTGTTTCGGAAACAGGTGTTTAATTGAGTGAAGCAGTCCTTTCGTACCTCGGGCGACCCAGCACATTGTCAGTATGTTCACAGAACGAGCACGTAGCCAGCACGCCAACATCTACAGACTGACTCAACCAACAGATTCCGGGCCTCTGCGGAGGCCGAGGTGGAGGCGGTGGAGGCGGCGGGAGTGCCCACGACTCTGCGCCCCGGGGCCTGTGGTCCACGTGCAGGGGAAGCTCGCCCAAGCAGAGAGACAAAACCCACGGTGGACTCAGGGAGGCTTTACGGAAAAGTGACGTGAAGATCAGTGGACTTGCCACACGAAAAGGGATCCAGGGGGAGGAAATCAGCGAGCGGAGCAAAAATGCAGGGTATGGTGTGGAGGAAAAAAGAAGAAGGTTAAGAACAAGCTGGGAGACAGTGGTGGGTAAGGGGCTCCTCCTCGCGCCGCCTGGGAGCGGAGGTCAGAGGTGGGCACCGCCCGCGCACCCCTGGGCGCCCTCGGGGGGAGCGCGGGGAGGGGCGCACGTCCCTGCCCTCGGTCCACGGGGGTGCGGGTCCTGCTCCCGTCTGCCCCGAGGCCGGCCCGGCTCCCCCGGCGGCCGTCCCCACCCCAGGCCCCGGTGGTGTCGGCCAGGCGGGGGCGGGCCGGCCCGGGGCGTGGAGCGGCGGGCCCGAGGGGGATGAGTAACCCTCGGCGGCGAGCAGGCGCGGCGCCCCGGAGCGTGCCAAGTTCCAGCCCGGGGCGCGCGGGGCCCGGAGCGTCCGGGGTCGCGCCCGAGGCCGGGGAGGGGCGGGCGGCCGCACCCGCGGCGGATAAAAGGGCGGCGCGGCGCGGGACCCGCTTTCTCCGCGCCGGGCCGGGCGTGCGGCGCTGCTCGCGGGCGGGCCTGACGCGGGAGCGGGCGGCGGGCGGGGCATGGCGGGGGCGGCGGCGGCGGCGGGGGCGGGGGGGGCGTGCGCGCCGGCCGCGCGGCCCAGCCTGACCTCCATCTCGTCGGGGGAGCTGCGCAGCCTGTGGACGTGCGACTGCGAGCTGGCCCTGCTGCCGCTGGCACAGCTGCTGCGCCTGCAGCCCGGCGCCTTCCAGCTGCGCGGCGACCAGCTCGTGGTGCCCGGCCCCGGGGGCCCCGCGGCGGCGCGCGGCGGCTTCAACGTCTTCGGCGACGGCCGCCTGCGCCTCGACGGGCAGCTCTACCGCCTCAGCAGCTACATCAAGAGGTGGGTGGCCTCGCCGGGTCCCCGCGGAGGCCTCCACCAGGCTGTCGTCCCCGGGGCCCGGGCTGGCCCGGCTTCCCGCCACCCCTCCCCTGGGGGACCCCCCTCTTTCGTGCCGCTTCTAGGTTCGCCTCATTGCAAAGGTCGCCTGAGTGTGCATGGCTCCTCCAGCCCTGGCCTTTTTCGCCCTCTGCGTGACATCTTGCAGCTGCCGCTTGAAGCCGCCGGGAGGGCATCAGGGCAGGCGCGTGGCGTAGGGCTGGGTGGTGAGCTTAACTGGGGGGTGATTTTCCCTTTCTGGCTCCTTAACTGGGTCAGATGAGCTCAAATCGGGACACACCCTTCAGGGGATGTTTGCAGAGGAGAGATTCATGCCCTGGCTTTGGATTTGTGGGGAGGGGAGAGGATGCTCAATTCTGGGTATTACTGGCCTGATCCAGTGAGGAGACTCAGTGGAAAAGCGTGCAAAGGTTCAAAGTTCCCCATCTTCGGCCTGCCTTTGTTTTAAAAAAAAATAGAGAAATAAAAACCATGCCTGAGAAACAAACAAAGCCCCGTGAAATCCAACCCGGGGCCATGTGGGCTGTGATGTGGGCAGGTGAGTTCTGGGAAATAGGTGCAATGAGTGTAGCTTCCAGGATTCTTGCACAGAGCTGGGCCCAAACCTCATTTGATGGCGAGTGCCCAGGATATGCTTAGCTGTTGTGGCCAAAGTGTCTGAGGCACTTCGTAGCAAACTTGCAGCCAGCAGGCTGTAGTCCATCTGAAGCAGGCTTTGATCATCACGGGATGAAGGAAGAGGAAGCTTCATGCTTGATTTTACACGGCCTCATGCCTTCCAGAGGTCACCTTGTACTTGTGTGTGGAGGGGGGTGTCTTATACTTGTGCTGCCGAACAGTGTCGGGAAATGGACAGCGCAGTCTAGAGTTTGAATCAGAGATGAGTAAGCTGGCCAGCTAGGAGGATATAAAGCCTTTGCTACTGGGAAGGACAGCAGCACTGTGGTATCCTGTAAGTGGGATGGAGCCAAGGAGGGCAAGCAAACAAAATGAGATATTTAAAATGCCTTCTTCAAAGCTGCTTTTCCACACACAGAGAGTGAGGGCTTCCAATGCCTGAAAAACCATTCTGCAGCAAGAATCTCTTCCTTTTTCAGTGGATTGAATATTCTAACCTGCATCAGGGGACGATGGGAGGAATGGAGTTAGAAATCATTATTTGTGAAGATTTTTTTTTTTTAAAGAAAAGGTAACCATTGTATTTGAGAACAGAGTATGAAAAATTCAAATGTCCAGGATTTTTTTTAAATTTTTATTTATTTATGATAGTCAGAGAGAGAGAGAGAGAGAGAGAGAGAGAGAGAGGGGCAGAGACATAGGCAGAGGGAGAAGCAGGCTCCATGCACTGGGAGCCCGATGTGGGACTTGATCCCAGATCTCCAAGATCACACCCTGGGCCAAAGGCAGGCACCAAACCGCTGCGCCACCCAGGGATCCCTAAATATCCAGGATTAATTGAAGCCATAGGTTAGGCTTTTGACAGAGCCAGCTTCCTCAATCTTAGCAACCAGTGCAGCAGAATTTAGAATGATGTTGAAGTCTGGTCATTAAACTCTTGCTTTGAACACCTCCTACACAAAAGACTATTAAATAGCAGTGGTCCCCTGGCAGTGAAGAGTCCAAAATAAACAATGACCAGGTGACACACAGCAAAATGCAGTGAGGATGCAACCACAAGGTTCTCATTGTCAAAGCAATTGAGTGAGGGCCTTTGGACCCTGGGACATAGCGAGGAACATCTGAGAATAATTGGGGTGGTAGAAGGAATGATTTGTCTTTCTCTCAGGGGACGTGCTGTGGCATGTGGGAAGTAGGCTTTTATAGGTGTGTGTGCAGTCCTGAAGGATGAACCTGATCTAGATGGAGAGAGCATTCTAGAAAAGAAGGGAAGACTGGGTTGTGGGCAACAGCGAGAGGTTTTGTCTTCATGTATCAGAAAGTGGGCACGTAGTCAGAATGCAGACATCAGAGTTGCCTCTCAGATCTGCTAAATTTACCCAGCTGTCTTTGGCTTTGGGGATAACATCCAGCTTTCTCTCTCAGAACATTACTCCAAAGCAGTGATTCATTCGCTTGGATCAATGAGAGCCAGGGTGCATATTTATTTTCTGCATCTATGCCCAATTCAACATTACTGCCACTGTCCTGCTGGACAGCAGTTTTGGCCAACAGGGCATAGTACTCTATTTCAGACTTACTCGAGATTGGGCAGTTGTTGAGGATGACCAGTTCTGCTTTGCCTTGTAAAACATCACCATCAGCTTGAACTCCAGCACGTACTTCCCACTTTTCATGTCCAGTTAGGACCTAGAGTTGAGGGACTCCAGCAACTTTTTCATCTTTTCTGCGGCCACCGCTTTCCTACTTTAGGTGTGGGATGGCCTCCTACCAAGAACAGCTGTCAAAGTAGCCAGGGCATGAGAAAGGCAAGTAATGATTCTTAATCATTTTAGACTACAGAGCTTCTCAGAATTTATGTAGGCCATCTCTCCCAGAGGCGTATATATGTGCTGACGTTGCTAACTGTCCAGGTAGTTTATGAGTGAGCTATTTGGATCCAGCTTGAGGATCCTTGTTCAATTAATTAATTTAGTTCTTTTTTTTTTTTCATTCAACAATTATTTCTTGGTGTGGGTAAGCTTACAGTGTAAACAGGATTTCCTTTTTGCAGCCTCAAAAATGTGTGCTGTGTCTTTCATGAGGTCCTTTCCTCAGGAAAAGGCTTAGGGCTGTTGCCTCTGACATTCATATGATTCACTCATTCAGACAATAAGAGGATGATGGGAGAATGGCTTAAGTTATGCTGATATGTCTTCTGATGCTTGAACATTTTGGAAATTCATCTCTATTAAATAAACCTAAGGGAACCTGGGGTGGCCGGGAGGTTTAGGGATGGCCACCAGGGCTATAGAGCTCCTGGGAGCCTTCTTGAAAAGTTTGTCCTAACTTGGGGAGAGTGAATGGCAAGATCTTTATTGTTCCTTTTTTCTTTCAAGCTCATAATTTCCATCTGTGTCACAAACAAAACCTACATGGAACACCCGTGTAAATAATTAATAACGCACACACATTTTTCCCTGTGATGCGATACAGCCGCTTAGTGAGATGTAGTGGCACATGCTTGGCAAACCGGTGCACCAGCCTTCTTTTCAGGGGTCCCCTGAGCACGACGGAGACTGTTGGGGTGATAAACACAAGCACACCATAATAGTGGTGCCAGCTCCTGTTTACTCGAGTACCAAGAATGGCACAAAGTATTCCACAGCTGTTACTTCACAAGAGCTCACAAAGTTGGCACTCGTGGTATTTCCCTTCTTTTTATAGGTGAGGAAATTAGGACTCAGAGAGATTAAATAACTTACCTAAGCAAGATGCTGGTGAGTAGTAGTGGTAGAACCAGGTCTTCTGTGTGGCCTTGGCTAACTGTAGGCCTATGCTTGCAGCCAGCTGCCTCGAGGCTGAAAGGATTCTGGCTTAGTATAGACAGCGGCAGCTTTCTCACACTTCTCCCAAATCAACACCTAAATACCTGGAATTACAGCAGACAGAAGGCATTTTACGTATTCAGGTGAAAGGGGAGGATAAATCCAGTGGCCTTGAGGAAGCCACCAAAAGCAGAGGTGTGAGCTGCTCCTTCCCATATCTGACCCAGCTGTTAGCTGGTGACAGGGACACCTGCCTGGAGCTCAGTCACCCAGGGCAGGGGGTGCAGGGGGCCATGGGGAGACACAGGGGGCAGGTGAGGAGGAGTCAGGGCTGGAGCCTGGGGAGGCTTTGCTCCCACCCACCAGGGGAAGTGTTGGGCTATGTCTGCTGGCCCCTAGCTCACCTTTCTGAGGTGACCCTGATTGCTGATGGGAGGCAGAGAAGCAATTGCAGCCCCATTTGCAATGTGTAGTACTGGGTGGCTCCCATCCAGTCCTTGTGACTGGTCCTCTGCCTTGATCCTGGTATCTGAGCCTCAGATCTGGTGACCTGCCTGGGACAGCAGCCCCTTACTGGGACATGTAACAATAACGGTGAAGTAATCATCATTTACGTGTGGAGCTATGGTGTGCATGAGATGCAGCCTAGAGTTAGTGCGGAGCAGCATGGGGGCCGGGACCAGACTGCCTTGGTTTGAATTCTAGTCCTACCGCTTACTAGCTGAGGGCTTCGGGAGATTTCTTAATCTCCGTGACTCAGTATCCTCCGTGTATAATGGAAATAATAGCACCAACAACCTTACAGGGTTCTTGTTCAGAATTCAAATTTATAAGGTCCTTAAAGCAGTTCCTGGCACGAATGAATCACTTGACAAATGTTAGCCTATAATATTATTAAGCAGCCCCGTAAGCCAAGTGGCTCACACACATGATTTAATCTGTTAGCCAGCCACCTGATGAGGTACCTTTTGTTAGCCAGATTTTACAGGTGTGGAGATTAATCTCAGCAAAGCCAAAAAAAGCTCGCTGAGGTCACAGAGATAGAAACGTAACCCAGATCTGATGATTCAAAAGCTACGTGCCATTACTGCCTTCTTTCTTCAGGAGCCTTGCTCTGGACTTCCAGCCATTTCTTACCCTCAGCTCACCTGGTCCTTGCCAAATGCCCGCCTGCAGGCCCCAATGCAGCCACTTGACAGTCCCCAAGGCTTGGCTAACCCATGACGTGACTTCTGCTGGGGACGCCTCCCTCTGGCTTTGGCCCACTCAGTGATGGGACATTTGGCCCAACAGAACAATTCCTCTTGTCTGTCTCAGCTCAGTAAATGGTTCTAACTCCAGACCCCTCCTGTCTTGCTCTTTCTTATTTAAATAACTGGAGCTGGAACACACGAAGGCAGAGAGCTATGCATTTCTCTGGAATTTGCATGTTTGAATCATTAACTAGTTTGTAAGCCTCTTAATGGCAGGGAAGGACCATGTCTTAGATCAGTGCTTCTCAAACTTGAAATAAGCATG